TTAAAAAGACTGGGACTTTGCAGCTTAAAAAGGAGGAGACTAAGGAGGGATGTGATAGAGGTCTATAAAATCATGACCGGTGTGGAAAAAGTGAATAAGGAAAAGTTATTTACTTATTCCCACAATATAAGAACTAGGGGTCACCCAATGAAATGAATAGGCAGCAGGTTTAAAGCAAACAAAAGGAAGTTTTTCTTCACTCGGCGCACAGTCAACCTGCGGAACTCCTTGCCAAAGGAGGTGGTGTAGACGAGGACTTTCACAGGGTTCAAAAAAGAGCTAGACAGATTCATGGAGGTTAGGTCCATCAATGCCTATTAGCAGGGCTCGCCAAACTGCGGCAAGCCCCGCTCCCCAGCCATGCTGTCCGACGATCTGTGCATGCGCAGATCATCCGAACCTGGCTCTTCCGGGTTGTAGCATTATTTGTCGAACCCTGGCTGTTAGCCAGGCTGGGTAGGAATGGTGTCCCTAGCCTCTGTTTGTCTGGAAATGGGTGACAGGGGAGGGATCACATGAGGATTACCTGTTGTGTTCCCTCCCTCTGGGGCATCTGGTATTGGCCACTGTTGGCAGACAGGACACTGGGTCGGACAGACCGTTGGTCTGACCCAGTCTGGCCGTTCTCACGTTCCTATGATATGATCGTTGTGTGCGGTGCTGCCTCGAGGCAGGGAGAGCAGGGCTGTGGGAAAGGAGCTAGAGAGCTGAGCGATGAGTCTGGGCAATAAAAAAGCTCCCCTCCAGCTTACGCAAATTGCAGGAGGCCGGGAACGCACCCTGCCCCATCAGGGACAAGTGGCCAACCGCACTGCAGCCGTGGGGCAGCGAGTACAGTGCGGGCTTGCCAGCTCCTCCGTGTGAAACCCTTTAGCTACGTGCCCCCAAACTGCCCTTAGCGTAAGCTTGAGGGACGAGCGCCGCGGCTGACCTCAGAGTGCCAGGCACCATGTGCTGTGTGTGCGCGTGTGGGGTGAATATTTCCCTGGCATCGAGTTGTCTCCTTGTTGCCACAGCTTCTGCTTAACTTCTGGAAGTTCTGAGCAAAGCAACCTGCGACACCCGGTCACTCTCTGCCTTAACCTCCCCTCCCCTCCCAGAGCCAAGTCCTGGCCTTTGCACTTGGCCTTCCTTCCTTCCTCGTAGATCCGCCTTGTTTGGTCACCCGGCATCGTCGCCTGGATTCATCCTGAGCAGCCCTCCTCTGTGACCCCCGGGTTCATGTCTTCACTGCCTCCCTTCTTGACTCCTGAAAGTCAGCCTCTTCTGGCCTTCTCCAGCACCCGTGGTCCAGCCTCACCCAGCAGTCCAGCCTCTCCTCTGACTCCCACGTAGGAGCATGTCACAGAACAGGACGCAGGAGGCAGCCCCTTAAGGCCACAGTTTTCCAAATTTTAGCTGCTGGTATGGGACGGCAAGGTCCTGGAGGCTTGTGACTGGCTTGGGGGTGTGGGAGACACAGCTCTGGGCTCCGACAGGGAGACGCTAGTTGTATGGACCGATAGCAGGGTCGCTGCCTGGGAAAGAACAGGGGGCCAGCCTCCGCGGTGAGCTTGGGATGAGCCGAACGGACTGCGGTGAGCCCGGGCGCAAGAGCAGCAGAGAAGCGCTGATATGAAGTTCTGGCGAAAGGCCAGCAGGGACCTGGGAGGGGCTCGGATGCAGGTGAAAGCTTTTTTGATTTCTATGAACAAGCATGGCCCCAGAAAGGGAGATTTTCATGGCAGGCCTGTTGGGTGGTGTGTGCTTGACCAAGGGAAGGGAAACTGAGGCACGGCAGCACATCCAGAGAGAGGTACAGTGACCCTCTGCTGCCCTCTCCAGGCCTTGAAACCACCTTCCTGGCAGTAGGTAGAGTGCATGAAATTTGGGACAGATTTCCCTTAAGTTAATAGCCACCCACTCCTTTGCCTCTCCGCCACTTGCTCTCCCATTCCCGTGTGCTTCTCTTCTGGCCCCTCGCTGGCCCTTCCTTGAGCTTTTCCATTGGCTGGGTCCCTTTCCAGTGTGCCGCTCAGTCGTCCTGCGCCTCCCTCCCTTCCCCTCGTCCAGCTTCTCCTTGAAGCCTCTCGTGATTGTCTCCCCCTTGGCGCCCGCTGAGCGCGGGGCACCCAGAGGTGCAGGGAGGGGGCATGAGGCACCCAATTCAAGTTTTGGCGGGGATCCAGGGGGGTGGTGCACCACCTGAGTGCTGCCACGTGCCACCCAGGACTCCACGCACGCAACCCTCCCAGGCCCTTGTCTTGCCCCATTGAGGGGGCCTGGAATGGGCCAGCAGAGCAGGCGAGAGGCTGGCCCACGTCTCTTGCCCCCAGAGGTGCAGGGAGGGGGCATGAGGCACCCAATTCAAGTTTTGGCGGGGATCCAGGGGGGTGGTGCACCACCTGAGTGCTGCCACGTGCCACCCAGGACTCCACGCACGCAACCCTCCCAGGCCCTTGTCTTGCCCCATTGAGGGGGCCTGGAATGGGCCAGCAGAGCAGGCGAGAGGCTGGCCCACGTCTCTTGCCACTGGGGGCCTTGGCGCCACCTCGTTTGCTGGGGCTGACCCCTCCCTCTGCTGGGGATATAGCCCCCCCCATCTAGTGGGGCTCTTGGGAAACTCCTCCACCTGCCTATAGCAGATCTCCAGTCCCCACGGCCCCTTTGCTGGTTCTACCCCTTCCCTGGGGGGTGGGGGGCGGAGATCCACCCCCACAATGGGCCCGGTCTCTCCCACCAGCAGCTGAAGGCCGGAGAGGTAGGACCAAGCCGAGGCGGCAGAGCAGCCCCCGAGTTTTCCCTTTCTGGCAGCGGGGTGGGGAGGCAGAGCGCCGAGGGGAGGGGGCTGGAGAGTGAGGGGAGAGGCAGGGCACAGGAGCCCCCGTGGGCCTTCCTCAGCCTCACTGCTTGTGACGGGGCATCGGCCCCGCTCTGGCCCTCCAAGGGTTAACACTGGAGGGAGGCTGAGGGGCAGAGCATGAGGGGCCAGCTGGGGCGGTATAAATCAGGGCTCCTGGAGGGGGAGGAAAAGGCTTTCTCACTCGCACTCCTGCCGGGGAGCAGGAGGGACCTGGCTGCCAGGGAAGCTGGAGGCTTCCTGAGACAGAGCAGGGCTGGGGAGCTCTGGCCACGAAGCTCCCAGGCTGCAGGGCCTGAGGGAACTAGGGCTCTAGAGAGGTGGCCAGGCTAGAAGAAGGCAGCAGGCCCACACCCCCTTGCCCATGCTGAGCGGCCGTGTCAGGCTGCAGCTGGGCTCTGAGGCAAGGACTCCATGATGCCTGGCAGTGGGTCCCTGAGGGGAAGACGGGTATAGGGCAGTGGGGGTTCCCTGAAGGGGAGGCCCTAGGAACATGGGGGCCCTGTGGCCGGGCAGTACGAGGGGGAAAGGGCAGGAAGGGTCAGGGGACTGAAAGCAGATGGGTACCGGGGCTGCCCAGAAGGGGGTGCTCCAGGGCTGCACTGAGCACATTCCCTGAGCCTCCAGCAGGAGGCGCCAGGGTGATGAGTCGCATCCTGTTACGCTGCCCCTTCAAAATCCCTTCCTGGCTCTGGGCAATTGAGGCACAGCCGGCAAGCGCCCTCCGCTGGGGGTCTTGACACCTGCCCTTCTCCAGCCCAGCCAGGGAGGTGCAGCCAGGCAGGGGCCTGCTGTTCCCCTTGGTGGCTTGTCTTTGCTGCCCAAGTCAAGGAAGAAGCAGGGTCGATTCGGACCTGCAGCTCCAGGGGGCTCTGGGGCGGGCGGGCCCTGCGGGGGAACGCTAGCGCCGTGGGGCGTGTAGTACGGTCCGGGCTGCGTGGGGAGCTCTGGGCTGGTGTGAACACGAATCTTCACGGGATCCGGATTTCTCCCCCTCTCTTGCAGCCGAGGCTGGAGCACAGGTTCCCTCGCTCGCTCCCCTCCCTCCACAAACAGGACCGCGCTCATCATCTCCAGCCTTTCCCCGCAAGCCGGGTGCCCTCTCCTCCAGCGGCCAGGAGGCGGGAGACTGGCTCTGCAGCTGCAAGGCCACGACCCAGCATGTGACGTGCCCCAAAGAGATGGCCAGGCCCAAATTTGTATGACCTGTCCCTGGCTGTGGGCACTGTGTTTTCCTCCCTGGTTATCAAGTGTAGCCCTGTTTGGATTCCCGCAGGCCAGGGCTATTCTGGGCACAGTGACCAGCAATCCCAAATTGGAGAGGAGGGTCCTGAAATGCTTCACATCTCCTCTCCTCCCACAAGGCTCTGGCCAGGCTGGAAGCCATGGTGAGAGCCACCCAGGGAGCCTGAGCTGCTGCAGGGAACCCTGCGCCGTGGCAGTGGTAACACAGGCTGGGGGCTGCTTTAGGGCACCCAGCTCCCAGCCCAGAGCAGGTCGAGCATCTGGGGCTCCCCACGGTGGCCAGGCAACCTGGGCGATTCTTACCGTAGAATCATAGAACTGGCAGGGACCTCGAGAGGTCATCAAGTGCAGTCCCCTGCCCTCGCGGCAGGACCAAGCACTGTCTAGATCATCCCTGGTAGAATCAATAGAACCAGGGTCCAGCACCCAGGAGTCATAGGGGGCGGAGAAGGTAGGGATGGCCCTCTGGGGGCAGAATGGCAGCAGGGGATGACGCTTCTTCAGGTGTCTTGTTTTTGCCTTTTGCAGAGGGGTCCATCCCGATTCTGGGAGCGACAGGGAAGCGGTTTCCCTACCTCGTGCTAAGGGGTGTTTCTCAGCGGGCTCAGTGCTCCCAGGTTCCTGGCCCAGCTGAAAAACAACACCCCGGGGTTGCTGCGTAAGCGGCCGCATTGTATAGAACTCAGACCTCGCTGCATTTCCCCAGGGGCCGTGCCAGGTCCCACGCCCTCCCACCCCCAGAAAATACCTCGAGGTCGACGAGCTCTTCAGGAGCGGTAACGCCCCAGGGGGCTGCCTCCAAACAGAGCTGGATAGCAGCCAGGCCCGTCCTCCGCCTGCCGTCTCCTGCTCCTGCCTGAGGAGGGAGCCAGGCCGGCCGCGTGCCCTTGCCTGCGAAATTCAGCCATTCACCCACCTATACAGACAATGTCCATGAAGCCGTACATTCCATAGCAGATCTGGAAGAGCAGGTCCTGGCGCTGCCACTTGGCGGAAGGACTGAAGGTCGACCAGATGAGCCACGAGATACTGGCGATGAGGAAGAGGGAACCCAAGATGGCGGCTGCTATCTGAACCTTCTCGATGACTGTCAGAGAGATGGCCTGCCACTGCAGAGGGCCGGTGGGAGGGGAATAGCATTTAGGGACAAAGAGAAAGGGAAGGAGGGAAGAAAACAGCAGATTAGCTTCCTGGCGAACAGCAGCATTCAACACCCATGGGGCGGCTCCCCGTTCCCAACAGCTTTACAGCTTGACAGACACAAACACCACGCACGGATCACTTCACCCACCACTGACATGCAGCCACCTCTGGGGCGGAGCATGGCACTTATCCACATTTTGGCTCCGGATGTGGAGAAGAATCTTAGAACCCTTTTGCAGCTTCAGTTGGATACAAGGAGGCAGAGGGCAAATACCCGAAGCGGACTTCAGCCAGAGGCTGTGGGTAACAGCCCCTGTTGGATCTTTCCTTCAATTTATGAATTCTTGATATTAGCAAGCAGTCACTATGGAGTTGCTGTCTCATGGAATGCCTGCGTAAACAATAAAATCCACCATGGGCAGAGAGGGCTTCTTGCATGCACATTACATAGGGACAATGGAGAGCAGTTAACTTTAATGACTATATTCCGACTTCACAATGGGTATGCTAAGTCGGCTGGCTGAAGCTAGGAGAGCTAGCTTTTCCTGGTTCTTCAACACGCAGCTGAGCAATGTTCCCTCTATTTTTTTCCATCCATGTGCAGAATAAATTTTATGTACACCAAGGCATGTGCAGATGTGCACCACTAGCAGGAACACATGTGGCTGTGGGTGCTCTGCTAACCAGCTGGGAGGCATCTGAATCTCTCCTGAATGACCTCCCATGCACTCAGCTTAGAGGGAACACGGCAGCGGAGGTTTGGAGAGTGGAAAATGACTCACATCGGAGCAAAGGAACCAGGTGTGGGTGGCAGGACGTAGAAATGCGTGAGCCAAACAAGAAGCTTGGGACAGGTCTGGGGAAATGATGTGCATGAGGATTCTGCTTAACTGTGAACAGCCCAGGCCAGAAAATCTAAGCTGGGGTGAACAGGGAGCCATGCTTCAGAAGAGATGTCAGGTAGCTGCAGAGGGAGGTTTCTGGGCAGCGCAGAGGGATCTCCCACAGCCCAGAGACCTCTCCACACTGGTGAGGAAAGAGGCAGAGAAATGCACAAAGGCATGTCTATTATTTTGTCTAGAGCCGCAGTGCTCTCATGCTGGTCTGGAAAGAGCAATCATAGAATACTAGAACTGAAAGGGACCTCGAGAGATCGAGTCCAGTCCCCTGGGCCCACGGCAGGACCATCTAGATCATCCCTCATAGATGTCTGGCTAACCTGCTCTTAAATATCTCCAGAGATGGAGATTCCACAACCTCCCTAGGCAATTTATTCCAGTGTTTAACCACCGACAGGCAGGAAGTTTTTCCTCATGTCCAACCTAAACCTCCCTTGCTGCAGTTTAAGCCCATTGCTTCTTGTCCTATCCTCAGAGGCCAAGGAGAACAATTTTTCTCCCTCCGCCTTGTGACACCCTTTTAGATACTTGAAAGCTGCTATCATGTCCCCTCTCAGTCTTCTCTTTTCTAAACTAAACAAGCCCAATTCCTTCAGCCTTCCCTCATAGGCCATGTTCTCTAGACCTTTAATCATGCTTGTTGCTCTTCTACGGATCTTCTCCAATTTCTCCACATCTTTCTTGAAATGTGGTGCCCAGAACGGGACACAATACTCCAGGGCTACGTCTACACTGGCATGATTTTCCGGAAATGCTTATAACGGAAAACTTTTCCATTATAAGCATTTTTGGAAAAAGTGCGTCTACATTGGCAAGATGCTTTTCTGGAAAAGCACTGATGATTTTACATTAGATCGTCAGTGCTTTTCCGGAGATTCAAGGGGCCAGTGTAGACAGCTGGCAAGTTATTCCGGAAAAGCGGCTGATTTTCCGGCATAAGTGGCCAGTGTAGACACAGCCCAGTTGAAGCCTAACCAGCGCAGAGTAGAGCGGAAGAATGACTTCTCGTGTCTTACCCACAACACTCCTGTTAATGTCTCCCAGAATCATATTTGCTTTTTTTGCTGCAGTGTCATACTGTTGACTCATATTTAACTTGTGGTCCACTCTGACCCCTAAATCCCTTTCAGCAGTACTCCTTCCTAGATAACTACTTCCCATTCTGTGTGTGTCCAGGACTCCTTCCTAGACAGTCGCTTCCCATTCTGTGTGTGTGAAACGGATTGTTTCTTCCTAAGTGGAGCACTTTTCACATGTCCTTATTAAACTTCATCCTATTTACCTCAGACCATTTCTCCAGTTTGCCTAATTTTGAATTATGACGCTGTCCTCCAGAGCACTTGCAACCCCTCCCAGCTTGGTATCATCTGCAAACTTCATAAGCACGCATATTTAATAATGATTTAAAATCCAGTGCAAAGTCTGTGCAGTGTGTGTTACATCGGTTCACAAGCCCTTGAAGAGTTGCCCTGTGAACCCGGAACACCAGCAGAGATAGAATTCTGGGACAATGTTTGTTTAAGCTACAGGGAAATTCAAGGAGTCAGCAATGGTCTCGGGCTCTTTAGTTGATCAGCAGAGGCCTCAGCTCTCAGGAGAGGGTGCTAGACTGAGAAATGGCATCCCAAGAGCATGCCTAGAAACGCCCAGCGAGGGGCAGTGTTCGGACACTGGCGTCTCAAAGCACATGGGTTCCCACACTCAGGTCCTCTCTCAGTAGTTTGGTGAATGTCCAAGGAGGGCAGCTGACTAGAGCTATCACAAATGGAGCGCTACTAACTGCATGCCTTAGGATCACCAGTTTATACATCCTCCAGAAGCAGGCACTCTGGACGCACAGTCAACCTGCGGAACTCCTTGCCAGAGGACGCTGTGATGGCTAGGACTATAACAGAGTTTAAAAAAGAGCAAGATAATTTCATGGAGGTTAGGTCTATAAAAGGCTATTAGCTAGGGGGCAAAAAATGGTGCCCCTGGCCTCTGTTTGTCAAAGGCTGAAGAAGGATGGCAGGAGACAAATTGCTTGATCATTGTCTTAGGTCCACCCCCTCTGGGGTACCTGGTACTGGCCAATGTTGGAAGACAGATACTGGGCTAAATGGACCTTTGGTCTGACCCAGGATGGCCATTCTTATGTTCCTGTCGCCGTGCTGGGGTAGTGCTGACTCTGGAGAGCATGCTGCCAAAGGCATCACCAGCACTGCCTCTTGCAGCCCCTCGCTATTCCTTAGGGCCCTTCCATCCAAGCAGCTGGCAAGCAGAGGCTAGGAACACCATTCCTACCCATCCTGGCTCGTCGTCATTGATGGATGTATCCTCCATGACTTTCTCTAGTTCTTTTTTGAACCCTGTTAAAACTCCAGATCTTCACCACATCCTTTGGCAAGGAGTTCCACAGGTTGACTGTGTGCTGAGTGAAGAAATACTTCCTTTTGTTGGCTTTATACCTACTACCTATGTATTTCATTTGGTGACCCCTAGTTCTTATGTTATGGAAACAAGTAAATAACTTTTCCTTATTCACTTTCTCTACACTGGTCATGATTTTATAGACCTCTATCATATTCACCTTCATCATCTCTTTTGCAAGCTGAAAAGTCCCACTCTTATTAATCCCTCCTCATATGGCAGCTGTTCCAAACCCCTAATCATTTTTGTTGCCGTATTCTGAACTATTTCCTGTGCCAGTATATCTTTTTTTGAGATGAGGCAACCACATTTATATGCAGTATTCAAGATGTGGCCATACCATGGTTTTATATAGAGGCAATAAGATATTCTTTCTTATTCTCGATCCCTTTTTTAATGATTCCCAACATGCTGTTTGCTTTTTTGACGGCTGCTGCACTCCGAGTGGATGTTTTCAGAGAACTATCCACAGTGACTCCAAGATCTCTCTCTTGAGGGGTCACAGAAATTTACTTCCCATCATTTCGCATGTGTAGCTGGGATTATGTTTCCTGTTGTGCAGTTCTTTGCATTTATCAGCATTACAATTCATTTGCCATTTTATTGCCTATTCGCCTAGTTTTGTGAGATCCTATTGAAATTCTTCACTGTCTGCTTTGGCCTTAACTATCCTGAGCAGTTTAGTATCATCTGCACATTTTGCCACCTCCCTGTTTGCTCCTTTCTCTTGGTATGCAGTGGTAACTGCTACGGTCAGTCGTGTGGCTGGTCACTCCTTGGGCCATGCTGTCTTTGCCAGCCATCTCTTACTGCATCAGTTCATTCTCAAAGGGAGACTATGACCTGGCTTTACACCATCCACCTAGCAAACTGTTAAGCCTGTAACAGCAAGAGGTCTTTTTCCAAGATGAAAAATTAAAGAAAATCTGGCAATACAACTTGACAAAGACCAGGCTGGGTTGATTTAGTTGGGATTGGTCCTGCCTTGGGCAGGGGCCTGGACTTGATGACCATCTGAGGTCTCTTCCAGCTCAATGATTCTCTGAACTCTAACTGCAAACATCCAGCCCTCAGCTGTTGATTGACAAAAACACAGAGGCGGTGCCTCTGTCAGGTTAGATAGTAATTAGCTCTGAATCAATCAAACAACCCCAACACACGGCTCCTGTGATCTGTTTCTCAAGTGTCTAGTTCAAATCCTGCTCACATCAGTGAGGAACAAAACGTGGTGTGACAATTCCAGAGCCACCTGCCAGAATTCACCGTTGTCCCTGTCCTGTGATGAGCAGCCCCTTGGGAACGCACCGTGACTGCAAAGAGAAAGCTCAGATCCTTCTGCCATAGCAGCTGGAGGAGAGTCCCCACTAGTAAGATGTCGGACAGCCTTTTGGGCAGTTCCGATTCCATTCAGTAGAAGGCAGCAGTGATGCAGACACACAGTACTTGGAATAGCTGCGTTATTTCTGCGGGCTAGTAGGAAATTAATCGGTGGGTTTTAACCTATGGCTCCCTCACAAGTAATTAGTTTGCTGGCAGTCTCAGCAGAGGCCAAGGACTCAATGAGCCTGGCGAATGAACCGCTGACCTAAGAGAGAGGCTTAATCTCACATTATTATGCCCTTGAGATTTATTCTTTAAAACTCCAAAAAATTTCCCCG